GAAATGCCCAGGCGATTTCCAGGGCTATTTTCAGAGCCATCTTCTGATATTGTAGGGATTAGATCATTTATTTCTCTGGCATCTAAGCTACGTTCATAAAGATGATGCAAGAAAAGTTGGAAGTTTTTCATAGTTACTGTTCGTGTATTGCATGAAACTGTTCAGAAGCTTCATTCACTGATGCATTCATTCATCAAAGACTGTTCTGTTATCCATGTCTGTTGTGAGCTAGAAGGCGAGTGCCAGGGATATCAGCATAAACAAGACACTGACTTTCCTTCAAATGGACTCTGGGAGATTTGTAAATCTTCGATGATTCCTCAGTGTTTCATGGAGTATCCATTGTTTCCAGATGCTGCTGCTCCACAGGAAAACAGCACTGAAAAACTGATGCAGTGTCTTTCCTCCTGAAGTTTACATTCTGATTGAGGAGGACAAAGCATATGCTAGATGCCCATAGTTGCCATGAAGAAATCAAACCAGGATATATTTGCCAGGGGTCTTCATTGAAGATTAAATCTGTTATTGTTGATTTATTTTAGATCATTTTGGGGAATCACCAAGAGCACTGTGGAATAGTTTGTATGAAAAGCTGGGGTTGTTTTGGTGAGAATTTGTGGATACAGCCACTTGCTGTGGAGTATGTCCACCCCTGCCACAGCTGGTCCCCAAAGATACTCTCATGTTAATTTCCCATACTTCAAGGGACACCTCTACTTGGAAGCACTCCAGCTGAGAGCATCCTTGAGATGTAGCTTTGAGACTTCCACACTCTGCATTAGAGGGAGGTTCACTGTACAGGGCTAGATGAGACAGCTTACACTTGGGGTGAGACACACAGAGAGTGGAGCAGAGCTACTCTTTGACCAACAGCGGTTGTGCATATGATATAGTTATTAGAAATCACGATCTCTGCTGAAGGTCACTTAAAATATACTATCAGGAGACTCAGCCTCCAGTCTTTCCAGCCTCACACTTGGACACGGGGACTTCAGAGATGTGGGATGGCTTGCTCTTCTGTATGCAGCATGCTAGTGCACATGGCTGTGTCTTTTGTACCTCTGTCTCTCTGTGTGTCCCTCTGTCTTTCTCTATATGTCCTTCTGTCTTTGTCTTTCTTTGTCTGTCTCTGCCTGTCTCTGCCTGTCTCTGTCTCTCTCTATCTCTCTGTCTCTGTCTCTGTCATACCTGAGGAGTTATCTTCAGGAAGCTGCTTTTATCCTCTAGGTTGCGTCAAAAGCTTCTTTTCTCTATACCCATAGCAGAATTTTTGCTGAGTAGTTAGTAATTTCCTACATTAGATCAGAATAACCCTTGTGTATCTCTCTCCCTAATTCTATCAGTTCTGAAAGTGAAGGGCCTGACTTTATTCGTCTTTAAAGCCTTAGTGCCTGTTACTTAGGATTTTGAGGTGACACATGTCAAATTTGGAACAAGCAGGGACCTTCTTTTAGTTGGAAGAGAGCTGGGCTTAGTGGAAAACACTTGTAATCCTAGCACTTGGGAGGTCACGGCAGAATGATCAAGAGTTCCAGGCCACCGTAGGCTACACATTGAGTTCTTTTCTCCAAAAAGAAGAGTTTGGGAGAAAGATGTGCATTGTGGGCCAAAGAAACAGAAGATCCAAAAGGACAGAGACTTGAAAAGAACACAGATTTGGGCAAATGCAAACAATTCATTTGGGTTAGGAGGAAGAAAATATGCTGGGGAGGGGTCCAGAATCATGTCAGAAAATTAACTGGGTGGGATTAAGATGGATCTTGGGTGCTATGAAAAAGCATTTGAACCTACTTGAAAGCCTCGGGGAAGCCAACCTGAAGGATTTAAAACATGGAAGGGACTTACATGATCAGATTTGTGTTTTTAAACAGATTTGTCTAACAGCTGGGTAAATGGTAAATGGAGGATTACAGGGACTCAGAGGCAAAACAATGAGACTATGAAGAAGTTGTTTTTTTTTCAAACCATAGGTGAAAAAAGCTTGAAGGCAGTTACAGGAAGAAAGGGATCCGTAAGAGTTAAGGAAGATTTGAGGATTCCTTTGCTTGGTTCCACAAAAGTGGAGTCTGGTCTTAACAAGAAGGCTCCTCAGCCATTTCCCAGCCGATTTTCCTACCACTGACCTCATGTCCTGAACCCAGAACTCCCACCTATGGGTGATGGACAACAAAAGCAAAGGGCATCATAAAAAGTGCCAGAAGAGACTTTGAAGATCATCCAGGCCAACCCTTGCTTTGGTACATGATTGAGAAAAGGAAAGGCTTTTGTACCCTTCCTCTGAAAATTAGCCATAATCACCCAGTCACCATTGTGTCAGCTGCATACATCTCCATACAGCACTAGTCTCTGATGCTTTCTCGTGCATTTCCTTATATTTTATCTCACTCTGACATTAGAATGTAATATGTTGGAGCAGAACCCTAGACTTGGTAAAGCAGTGTTCAATCTATGTAGTAGATTCTACATGAACGATTGTTGAAAAGAGCAGTAAGCCAGGAATAATCAGATTTACTCTTGATTTGAACCAGTGGTCTTTGCACATGCTCTTCATTCAGAGGTTAGTAAATTCACAGTTCTATCTCTGATTAGGGCTTTGCTTAAATCAGTATTGCAGAGATTTAAAAAAAAATCTACCAAGCAATAATACTGTACATGGCTTTAAATACTGAAGAGCTAAAAATAAATGCTACTTCAAAAAAATTGCCCACTGATCAGCTCATAGCCATTAAGACGGTTGCTATTAAAAAAAATAAGTGTTGCAGAGGAGGTGGATAAATTGGAATCTTTGTATACTGTTGTTGGCGGGTGTATACGATGATGCTGTTGCTATGGAAAAGAGTAGAGAGGTTTCTCAAAAATTTAAAAATAGAATTATCATATGATCCAGCAATTCTACTTCTGGGCATATACCCAAAACAATTGAAAGCAAGACCTCAAAAAGATATTTGTACAACTAGCTGTATAGCAGCATGATTCACGATACCTAAAATACAGAAACTACCCAAGTATCTATCAACAGATGAATAAATAAATAGAATGTGTTATGTACATTCATAAGTCCCAGTTTAGAGTGAACAAAATACGGCTCAGAAAAGTGAAATAGATTGCCCAAGGCACCTAACTTGAAAGGGGCTAAGGTGAGCTCTGACCGTCAGGCACAGAATTGCTGACTGCGCACCCAATGCAAGCTTCTGCCTTGTCCAGAGATAGGAAGGGTAGCTGAATTAACTTGTCTGCTGACTGAAAGATAAGAAAGTAACCATTGGCAGTTTATGTAGAGGGCTGAAAATGTCTGCATGGGCAGTGTTCATATGGATTAGTGAAGAGAGAAATAGAGAGGAAGAAAAATAAAGAGATAATGCAAGCCAGCTCCCAGATACCTGCTTTATGTGTCTTGCTCAATTATCCCTCCCTTGCTAAGTCTTCAGAGGGCAGGTGTGAGTCAACTGTAAACACGGTAAGAAAAGGTCACCCAACATTCCCTCAGCTGCTAAAATCAAAGTCACTGCCCTGGAGATGATCTGTGTACATGAAATTAAAAAAAGTACCTGCAATGTGACCAGGAGAGGATAATGGCTCTTGCTTTTTGAAACAGCTTCATTAGAAGTCTTCCTGCCTCCTGTGATGGTAAAAGATGATAAGATGACTTGCAAACATATATTAAATGTAGTGGGAAAAAGTAGGACACACTAGGAAGGATATGGGGTGAAAGAACAACCTTACTGGACTGGACCAACTCACTGTAGAGTCCTGACCTTGCCCCTCCCTCTACCCTTACCATCTTCATATACTAGATTTAAGATGACTCCTTAGAGGGAAGAGCATATCTCCCAGCAGAGCTGAAAACACAAGAGGATAGTTTAGCTTTATATATAGCTTTATATGATCTATGATAGATGCTGTACAATAAAGTATCTCCATATGATACAATAAGGTAAGATCAGGTTTCCCAGAGTATTTGTCTACAGGAAAGGTAGAATCAGAATTCGAACATAGGTCTGTCTGTTACCAATGGTTGCCCTTTTCCTCACTCCACAGTGGAAAGTACAACAACCAAGATATGAAGAAGTAGCAAAATGTCAAAAAGAATAGTCAGAGAAGCCCATACACTCCTTCCCTGGTCATTCCCAGAGGGCACATGAGTGGCAAAATCAAAGTCACTACCATAGAGATGGTCTGTGTACATGAAATAAAAATCCTGCAACGTGACCAGGAGAGGAAGTGGCAAGAAAGCAGTTAACAAGTGGACAAGAGATGTACTTTGTGATGCCAGAACACATGAGCCAAGCCAGTACAAATTATAAACAGCTTTGTTTGGTGTAAGGAAAGCCGTGTTTTGTGGTGGTTAAAGATAAATTTCCACTATCTTTTGAGATAATTGGGAATATCGTATGTAGCACCTCATACACAAGAACAGGTTCTAACTAATTTTTACTGGTAATGGAAAAATGTTTTTATTGGGCTGAGTGTTGGTGGCTCATGCCTGGAATTTTAGCTACCCAGGAGACTAAGATGTGAGTGTCATGGTTTGAAGCCAGCCCAGGTAGAAAAATCCATGAGATACCTATCTCTAGTTAACCACCAAAAAGCCAGAAGAGAAGGTGTGGCTGAAGTGGTAGAACACCAGTCTTAAGCAAAAAAAGGTAAAGGACAGCATCCAGGCCCTGAGTTCAAGCCCCGGTACTGGCATATACACCCCAAAACGTTTATATCAACAATTATTACCAACAATTATTAACGTTTGTATCAGCAATTGTCAGTATTCTCTCTATATTTTTAATGTCCTGATAATATTATACATACTTTGAGTGTTTTAAAAAGGATAAAATTATTTTATGCCATCTTTCATCAATAGCAACATTACTGGCTAATGTGGTCCAACCCAAAGGCAATTGCATTTTATCACTATTAAAGCCTCTGACCTTGCACAGTGAAGCCAGCTAATTACAAGGCCACTTTTTTTCTGGAATAATGAGACTATGCTCCCCCTCTCCCCTGTTATGTTTTAGGAAGAGGTAAGAAACTTCAAGGAACTTCGGGCCAAATTTCAAAAGTTTGACACTCCACCTCTTCCAGGACCTATCAGATTCCCAGCAGGTGTTCTTCAAAAGAGTGACCGGGCATGCATACAATCAACCCAGATTTGGGCCAATGGGAAGCCTCTCGCATCCAATTTTAATTGGCCCCCATCATATTGTTCCAGCCGGGAGTCTCAGGCTCCCAAATCCCAGAAGATGAAGTTTACTCCAAAGAGTGAAATTCAGAAGTGTTTAAGTTCCCCAGAACCTCCAGAAAAGTCTACAGTGGACTCACAAAATTCTCAGAAGGCTTCTTTGCTGTTAGCAGGGACCCAGTCAAGCACTAAGCTATCCCATGAGCAGGAAGGAATGGCGGCCAACAGCTTCAGAGACAAACTCTGGAACTGGGAGAAGGTTTCGTCTCAGAAGAGCCAGATGTCTCCACCCGTTCTCACTAACTGTGGCAATAAGACCTTCTGTCAAGAAGAGCAGAAAAGCACAAGACTTGCTCCAGAAAGGCCAAGAAAAAAAGTGGAATCAACAGGCGCTCAGACTTTTCCTTCTCAGAGGAACTCAATAGCCCAGAGAGAATCATGTGTGACCTCAAAAGAGCCCCCTTTTCTACTTCTTCAAAATGGTAGGAAGAGTGAGGGGGACCCCAGTGCTGAGAGAAGCAAGACAGCCAGACCTGCCCCTGGTAAGTGACGGAGTCTCTGTAGGCCTGGGAGGGGAGGCCATTATATTTATTTTCTTTTTAAATCTTGCTGACTTTGAGTGATCCTATCTGGGACTTGACCGATGTAACATGGCAATTGTAAGCTCTCTTATTAAATTGTAGTTCCAGGTTTGAGTAAAGTGTTTAATCTCCCAGAATTATAATATGAACCTGAACTAACTTGGATTTGGATCCTATCTGTATTTTGTATAAGCACATGAACATGAGCAGTCTTACAAGTCATATATTATCAGTCTTCTCTGTCTTGGTAAGCAACACAACTATCCTCTACTTTCTCAGGCCAAAATCTTGGGATAGTATTCTATTCCCCACTCTGCACCCTTTACTCTTTCCATTGAATCTATCATTGAGCTCTTGGTTCTACCAGAAAAGTACGTTTGGGGACCCTTAATTTCTGTCCATTGGTCTAGACCATATCATCATTATCTCTCAACTGGTCCACTGTCAACAGCCCATCAGCCTCCTTCCATCAGTGATCTTACCTCCTTGTATTCTGTTCTCCTAGCAGACAGCATGATCCACTAAAGCATAAATCACATCACATTGCTCTCCTTCTCAGCCAGCTCTAACCATCTAACAGTATCTCATGCAACTTGGTCTTTGCCTAGTTCTCTTTTCTCTGTTTCTCTTACCACACTGCCTTTCTTAGATACACCAAGCTGACTCCACCCCAGGTCTCTGCACCTGTCATTCCCTTTGCCCAGAACACTCTTCTGTGATGCCTTTGAAGACTTGGGCCCTAATTGTTTTGAAATCTCTGTCCAAGAGTCACATGTTCTCAGTGGCCTTGTGAGTCACTTTATGCAAAATAGCTAGGGCATTCCTATCAATCCGTTGTCTTCTTATATTGCTTTGGTTTTATTAATACTACTGATCTCTACTTGGATTATCACTGTGTATTTGTGCTTGCCTAAGTAAACTGTGAATTATAAAATGATAAAATTTGACTTCCTTAACCACCATATCCCCAGAAAAAAGAAGGTAGGGTTGAGTAATTCATCAAAAAATATTTATTGAATGATAGACTGAATAGATTGCGGTGGATGAGTGGGTAGTTGGAGAGGTGGATGGATGGATGGTTGGATGGATGGATTATCCTTCTTACAATCCTACGTGGCCTCACTTTGTACTTAAAATAGATCTTAAATTGCTACAATCTTGATAACATGTTGGCACTTGCTCTGACTTTCTTCTTGCTTCTTTTCTCCTAGCACACAGTAAATATACCACATAGATCTCTAGAATGATCTTATTTGGTTTTTACTTCTTTATCATTAATCTCTTCTCATTATATTGAACCTGGACGTAGGAATATATATATATATATATATAGTTATGATTACATATAGTTATGACTTATATACAGTTATTATATATAATTAATTTACTGAAGTCAGTGCTTTCTTTATATCAGTAGTTTTATACATATGTAACAAGAGTTAGGCAGGAGTAAACCAATTGCATCTGAAACCAGAAGCAGAGAGGATGAAGATTATTCCTTATTCCAAAGGTCACATGATAACAACTTCCTGCCCTCAGTGACCTAAGGCCCTACTACAAGGGCCCACCCCTTAAAGGATCCATTCCTCCTAACACCAGCACCCTTCAAACTGTCAAGTCACAATGGATCCTCGCAGGACACTCAAACCTCACCAAAACCACAGCATTCAGAGTTTACAAATATTGTATGGGCTATCCTATGCTTATCAGCCTCTTCAGTAGCCAAGGTAGAGCACTATGATTGGTTCTGTAAGAAGCATGAAGTGGCCCTTTTAAGGCAGATCTGTCTTCTCTGGGCCTCTGCTTTCTTCTTATGATAACCTAGAGGTTATGTCTGCCAGACAGTGTCACCTTAGAATAGAGGCAAGCCTAGATGACCCATTGTAAGAAAGTCCTTGGTCAGCCTAAGGCACTGAAATTTAGGGAGTGGTCTGTTGTGCCCACCAGTATTATTTACAACAACTCACACAGCAACCTAGATGACTGTGGTGTTTAATAGCTAAATGATCTGCTTTCCACAGAGACTATACTAGAAATCAAATGCCTTCTTTAAGGAGGAGATATGCTCCCCCTGCATTCCAAAGTTGTTTCTTCAACACTTATATTTTGAGCCAGGTGCTGATGGCTCACACCTGTAATCCTACTACTCAAGAAGCTGTGATCTGAGGATACTAGTTCAAAGCCAGCCTGGGCAGGAAAGTCCATGAAACTCTCATCTCCAAATTAATCACCAGAAAACTGAAAGTGATGCTGTGGCTCAAAGTGGTAGAATATCAGCCTTGAAGAAAATCACTCAGGGATAGCACATATAATTGAGTAAGCAAGTGAGAGAGATGGGTGGAAGGGAGAGAGAGAGAGAGAGAGAGAGAGAGAGAGAGAGAGAGAGAGGAATTAATAGAAATTTACAAGAGAGAACCTAGAAGGATATGACAAGTGTCTTAGAGAAAGGAGAACCTCTGATGGGTTTTAAAGCCCAATCTGGACCTCTGGAAAGCGGGTGCTCTATGCGATAGGTTAGGTATCATGTAGAAGAAAAGAATCTGGAAACAGGCGGGACCACGTAGTGTTGTAAATGGTGGACGTGAACGGGCCCTGCTGAGTTCCTGCATTGGACATCAGATTGGTGCCATGAGCAGGTATGTATTTGGACTAGAGCCTAATAATTGCTAGATGGAGAACAGATAGGAGGGAGGGAACCAAAACTGAGGTTGAAAAAAAAGTTTCACCTGCAAAGTCACCACTTTCAGTGACTTCACGTTTCCCTGTCTGTGCTCAGAAAACCAGCCAGGGAGCAGGCATCACCAGCTCCCCCAAACGAAGCCACTGCCTTCCATCGAATCTCTGGGTCCACCTCCCCCAAAGCCGCCAAAGCCCCCCACCGTGAACCTCCAGGCCTTCCAGAGACAATCGGTTGGTATGACCAAGACCCCAAAAGAAGGTAAGGAAATGTACAGAGCAGCACTACACATGGCCAGCCTGGAGCACACACAGCTTCTGTGTCTGTTTCCTCATGTCACCTCCCTCTCCACCCAGACCCCGAGGGAACAATGCGACCACTGCCCTTCCAGGGAGTGGCACAAGCATCACTACTATTCTCAAGTACAGGCTGGGGCAGCTTGCCCACAAAATGACAAATCTGTTAGAATTGGCCTCTTATCACTCCTGGGCCCACTCACTTCCCCTGGGAGCATTGCTTTTGATCACTGGGAATCTGTCCAAGAAGAAACAAACAGAAAGTTGGCTGGGCAGAGAGGCAGTGAACCTTTCAGTTTGCTGCAAAACCTGTGTTGCAAACAGAGTCAGCAGGAGGGAGGTGAAGATGAGGAAGCCAATTTGAACTTGACCTGAGATCCTTTTGGCAGAGTTCCCCTCCCCGCTTGTATCCTGCCTCTCTGATCCTTTCCAGGAAGCAGCCCTGGGAGCCATTTTTCTGTGTTGTTTTGTGTCTCGTTTGTTCCATTATTTTAAAAGAGTACTTCTGGTCCCTCGTGGCTCCTACCAGAGCTGCATGTTGCTGACACCATAAATGCCTTTACTTATGTTTGCTGTAATGAAACATGAGGGGAACATATACTGTGAAGTGGGGCTGTGTTAACATTTGTTTTCTTGTGACCATCAGCATCAGCAGATGGTATATCCGTAGAGCTAATGCATCTTTGTTCATTTGACTGCTTCGGGCAACCTCATGTTGGAATTTCTCTAAAGCAAAGACTCACCCAGAAGCATTCATGAGAATCACCTAGAGGTCTTGTTTAAACTCACATTGCGGGGCCTCATCCCCGGAGTTTCTGATTTGGTTGGTCTGGTTGAGAGCCTGAGGCTTTACCTTTTAATAAATTAACAAGAACTGCTGATGTTCCTCACCCATGAATTATACTTTGAGAACCAACAATACAAGCCATGCCAAGTCTTATCCTAAAAGAACATTCTGTATAGGGAACCAGCACCCTTGGAAGTATACTTTAGTAATACAAAAACTCAGCTCCATCCATATCAAAGAAGGGTATGGGTGAATTTTCTTTTTTCTTTTTTGGTACTTGGGATTGCTACTATGTGTGACTTTCTTTATATAAACATTAATTCAGAGAACATAGAACAAAATGCTAAACCTTTTATAATAAAATGAGCTTCAGAGAACCCAGCTCTTCTACCTGCAAACTATATATGTTTGAATGGTGCTCACTGAGCCTTGTGTTCCTCATCTGTAAAATGGGGAAAGTGGGACCTTCAATAGCAGAGGATTATTATGATTAGAATATGGTAATATCGAGGCATACTGGAAAATCCTCAGTAAAATCTTCTGTGTTATTTCAACTATTGAGCAGCCAAGCTATCAGTATTCTCTGTGCCAGACCCTGTGATGGAAATGAGACTAAACCCCACAGAGGGGTTGGTCCTCAGAGAGGTCAAAGTCAAATGCAAGGAATTATGCCCATAAATAACACCATAAAGTATGGTCATGAACTGCAGTATAGGGATAGTTAGCTGGGGGTGATACAGTAGGCAAGAGGAACATTGGGTCACAAATGAGCTACCGATACTTGGTCTCTGGGGTGTCAGGGTCATGCTATGAGCAACGTTCACGTTCACCAGCACACCGCCAATACTTCCTCTTCCCTCCGTCTCTCTTGTTCTTGCAGTGTCTGTGAAGGAGGACCACTTGTCTCCAGAGAGGTAAGTATACATTCCTTAATTGGGCAGAAAGGAGCTCAATTGGTGAGACTATTTGGCCTACCCACTGGTGAGCAAGAAACACAACCCAAATGTCTGTATTTCTTGAAAATGTTGCAGGAAGGACAGATTTATAAGCAGCAGACTTCAACTTTTGCTTCCACTCAAAGATCAAATAAACCGCATTGGGCTGATGTTAAGTTGCAAAGATGGTCCTCCGAGGTACCTTTTTATTGTACAGATGGGTTTCGCAAATGGAAACATCAGCTTCCATGGACATCGGAGATATCAGGAGTTGGTGTTCTGAGGTCCTCTTTCTAAAAATCTGCCATGGGAGTGTCAATTCATTAATTCTCTCAACCACATAACACCTGATGAACCCGTGGAGGTGTTGTGGACTGATTGAGCTGGCCACATTCTAGAGAGCTGATCTGGTTGTCTCTGGAGGGCTGTAGATACTGCTATCCTCATTTTTCAGCCCAAGGCTCGAGGTCAGAAAATTTACCAGTTGCCATGCTGTGATTCTTACCCAGCTAAGCCAAACTCTTTGTTTTATATTATAACAGGATTATATTTGAAATGAATTACTTTTATAGTTCTCTTAATTTTTTACGGTGTACATTCATCAAAAGGAAAATACAAAAATAGAGAAAATGTAAAGGTATAAGCCAAACTGTCTTGACTCTATACCTCATCTCCCTCACAAAGATGGCCTTGTTGGCAGGGAGGCTAGTCTTAAGAGGAGAATCGAGTTCAAAAAATGAATAATAATATTACTGATTTACCCACCAAGTATTTATAATAATAAAGTATATTATGTTTGTAATAGAAGAAGGTACAAAATTCAGAGGTTACACCAATGAGGATGTGGTCATATTTCCTTGAGAGAGTCATCAAAGTTCTTAAAGTCCCTTTTCTATTGCTGCAGTAATATTATCTAATAAGTACACTTCAGTAATATAGAGCTGTGAGTACAGCTAATCCAGGCTGGGGTCCACTGGCTTTGTGCCTATGTTTGCAACCAGTATGGATCATCTAAGCAGCTGTTTTGATATTGACTATGGTTGCTCAGATGTTGGGGATTGCTTACAGTTAAACTGACCTAGGATTGCTTTGGTGCTGGGATGACTGAGCCCCTTGAATTAGTACCATTTCCCTACTTATAGCAAACTAGCTTGTACTTCTGGCAGTGAGAGCAGATAAACAAGACAAGTACAATAGCAAAGACTTTATGAGCCTTTGCTGTTTTAAATTCACTGGCTTTTTATTGCTCCAAGCAGCTCTCATGACTAAGTCCAGTCAGAGTGGGAGGGCACTTCAGGATCATGTGACAATGGATAGGGATAAAGAATAGCAATACGAATCCAATCAACCCATTACTGAAGAAAAAAAACACTTGAAATGACTATAGCGAAGGAATGACTGCTGGGTAGCATGGAAAGGAGTGCTATAGGCAGAGGCAGGAGATGTGAAGTAGTCTATATTATTCATTGACCAAGAAAGTATTGAGTTGAGTTAGGAAAGAGGCAGTAAAGAAATGGGATTGTAAAATAGACAGGAACCCTATGGTGAAGACGTGTGTACCAAAGAATTGATAAAATGGTGAACAAGGCTCAGACCGAGCCTTGTTTGCTACATGCAATTCATGAGCTCTGAGAACTCCTAGCTCAGTGTTCCTCTATTTGAATCCGCATAAGGTAGGTCTGCAGAGATACATCTTGTGTGTATTTTTGTGAAAGGGGAACAATTTTGTGGCTAGCTCAGGCAATAGTTTTCCCTGTTTCTTCAGTGAGCACAGATTCCAGTGACAACTGAGGAACAAGGCGCCTCTGCTGTACTGAGCCCATCTTGGTTGCCTCATGGCTGCGTTTTCCCCACATCATGGCACCAAGCAAACATGGTTTCTATAAGCAGGTTAACTACAGAGACAGCATCCGTTTCAACCTGAGGGACAAGCTTGTTATCTCCCTTGTTGGAGATAGCAGCCGGTTTCTGATGGGACACCATGTTGCCGAACATGTACAAGTGCAACTTTTACTCTTCAGTTCTTTCACACTGACTTTAGAATACAACTGCTGTCTAAAATGGGGGAAGGGGAGCATGCATTTGTGTGTGTGTGTGTGTGTGCGCGCGCACGCGCGCGCGCACGTGCGTGTGCATGCAACAGTAATGGAGCTTGATCTCAGGGCCTTGTACTCTCACTTAGCTTTTTCACTCAAGGCTAGGACTCTACTGCTTGAGCCATACTTCCACTTTCAGGTTTTTTTCTGGTTAATTTGAGTTTCATGGACATTTCTGCCTGGGATGGCTTTGAATCACAATCCTCAGATCTCAGGCTATTGTAGACCTAGCATCACAGATGTGAATCAGCAGTGCCTAGCTTGAAATGAGGTTTTGTTGTACATTATCTATAGTGTGGGCGATGCTACTATAGGGACAAAAGATGATAAAAAATAATTAAGGACCAGGATACTTAGTAGAGGACTTACAGAAGATGGAAAATTTTCAGCTCTAGCTTAGTGGTAAATACATCTTCCTTCCCATGGTACTTTAAGGCGGGTGAGGCAAGGTATTATCCCTAGAAAAAATACATTCCTAACATACGGTTGGTGGATGGATGGATGGATGGATGGATGGATGGATGGACCAATTAGCATTCAGGCTGGAGACAGAAAATAATGCAAAGTAGGGATGAAGTAATAAAGAGGAGATAATCAGACACAATGTACTCTAATGTGAAAAAAATAAGATATTGTTGGATTATAAAGTGTAGTCAGCCCTTCTTATATGCATATTTTGTATCCATGAATTCAGATAATCTGGAATTAGAAGTGTTTGGGAAACTTCTGCTTGCATTGGATATATCAAGACACCTTATCATCTATCATCTGAACAGTACAGAATAACAATTACTCACATAAGCACTTACATTGTAGTAGCTATTATTAGCAACAGAGATGTTATTTAAGTATTTCAGAGGATGTGCATAGGTGGATACACAAGTACTAATCCATCTTGGTACCCACAATGGATGGTGGAAACAACTCTGCACAGATATTGAAGGACAAATTCATAGCAAATGCCATTTTAAGGAGTTCAAACTCTTCTTATGAAGGATGTTAATTCCAAGCCAGATGGCCAGGCTCACACCTATAATCCTAGCTACCAAGATCTGAAGATTGTGTTTTGAAACCAGTCCAGGCAGAAAAGCCTGTGTGTGAGACTCTTCTCCCCAAATAAACATTTAAAAGAGCCAGAAGTGGAGCTGTGCCTCAAGTGGTATAATGCTAACCATGAATGAAAAAGTTCAGGACAGTAGCCAGGCCCTGAGTTCAAGCCCCAGGACTAGCACACATGTGCATGCACGCGCACACACGCACCCACACACACACAGAATGTTAATTTGAATGTATAATACCATAACTTCCAACAGCCTTAGATACAATTTCCATGGAAACCGGTATTTGTTTGGGAAAAATATCTCCCATGTACAGAGTAACAACTTTCAATACAGATATTAGATTTAAAAATAGTTAATGTAATATCATTACTTGAAAAGAACATGGTGATTATACAATGTAGCCAGGTCACATAAAATGTTAATGAAAGCCTTGGGCTTTGAATCAACCCTTTCCACTTAACACATATAAATTTGAATGTGCCTTAAACTTTGCAAACCTTAGTTCAACCTTTGCATTATTGGCAGCACAATATTGATATAAGCTGTGCTGCCAATAGTGATATAAGCTAATTCATGTTATGATGGTGAGGGTTGAAGTACAAGGTGTTTATCATCATTCCTGACATCTAAAGGATGACATATGTAGCTATTATATAACTTCCCACCAAAGGAAGAATCCTTGTCTCCAAAATATCCCTTGATGAGAAACTTAGTCCTACAAAATCCACTATTTGCCTTTGCTGGAGCAGATATTTTCCCTCGTTCTACACATATCTATTAAGCACATACTATATACCAAACATTTTTCTAGAACCCTGGGCCTGGTCACTGTCCCTCAGCAATTTAGCTCAAGACTAGTGCTCTACCACTTGAGCCACAGCGCCACTTCCAGTTTTCTAGTGGTTTATTGGAGATAAGAGTTTCATGGACTTTCCTTCCCCAGGCTGGCTGATCCTCAGATCTCAGCTTCCCGAGTAGCTTAGGGTTACAGGCATGAGCCACCAGCGCCTGGCTTACCAAACATTCTTATATGCACTACCAATGTGAATCACTCAAAATATCTTACGTGACTCTGAGAATGCACACACATTTCTCTATTTATTTCCTCCATCAAGTTAAGCTGGAAGATAAACATGAGCTCTACCCTTCAAAATGCCAACCCTCTTTCTCATCTAAGACCTATTCTTTAGTACAACAGACATTGCTTTTACCTTTTTCTTTACCCAACAGTTCTTAAGAAATATAGTCATTACGTTATTCTCCTTTGTGTTAAAGCTCACATTATTTTCACCTATTATTCATGAAGCAGAAGTCTTTTGCTCTGGCCATATTTCTACATATACACATTGTAATCACAAGAACCTAGTGCACCTAGAGGTGGGCCATGTTTCATTTCAGGGCTTCTTCCTACTGCAGGTCAAATATGAGTGGTAGCCTGATGTGACAGACAAGTACACATCTGGAGTCAGATGAGTGCAGGCTCAAGCTCTTCTTCCACACCTTGGGCAAGAACTTCACCATTCAGATCTTTAATGGACACACAGCAGTATTGCTTCTTCCTTGGGCTGTCAATCATCTTCACTGTGTTGTCATGGGGACCAGGTGAGATAGAGTGTATAAAGTATGGAGCACAAGGACATGTTTGATGAGTTTCATTGGTCTCTTCCATCCCTCCCTATTGCTAAAATACTAACATTTCATTAGTTCCCTACAGTACAATGGCTCTTTAGAGGTTATGCCTACTCTTTACTCTTTCATGCAAACCAAGATTGCTGCATCCCTTGTAAACAGCAGTCACTGTTTGTGTAAACAAAGGAGATGG